GTCTGAAGAGAAGATTCTTGGGCTTCTTATGCATTCTTATGGGAAGAATGAGTTCTCTTTTGGCTTTGTGAGCTGGAGGCGTTCTGGGTCCAACAGATAGCAGTAGAAGTCTCCCTTCATGATGAGATCCTTGCCTACCATAGAGCTTCTGGATGTAGGTTCTGGTGCTCATGTTTGCTTAGGTAGATCTCCCATTTTCCTTCTGAAGTGGATGAATAACTAAGCTTCAGAAGGTTCAGATATCGACCCTGCATCATCATTGGGCTGAAGAGACTCATTATCAACGATTGCCATTGTGGATGCCACAAAAGTTGGGTTGGCAAAGGCTGTGTCCTCTTTTAGCCTATTTGGAGGTGTGTTGTCTACAAGCAGCTTCTCCTAGAACTGGCATGATCTCCTTCATAATCTTCTAGAAGCTGCTGCAGGTGTTTTGCATGCCACTTCAACTTCCCAGGAGGTATGGTACTCAGCTAGGCTACTAGCATTTCCCAAGTGACACGTCTCAAGCAGTGATTGATCATTGGCAACCTGTCATCTGATGGCTGCCAGTTAGCATACTACTGATAATTGTGGCATGGGCAGTACTTAGATAAATTTTGGGCGCCTCTTGATAAATGCATGCCGAGCTTAGCCTTTTGGCATGCAGCGAGCTGAGGTTTTTCACAATGGCAGACTCATGCGATGTGGTAAATTTTGGGCCCTACATTTATGTACCATAACATGTTTAACCTGTACTGGGAAATGCTGTGTCTCGCTTCCTTTATATCTATCGATATCCATATATGTATTTGGGCATGTTAGCTTATTGACAATAGAAAATAAATAAGGTAGCACCCCTACCCCTAAGATAGACACATATATATCAGAGAATGAGATAATTGTATACATTATTGGTCTGTTCTAAGAGTTCCGCGAAGGTAGACCATTCTCTTTTGACTTGGAAATTAGAGTAGGCCATTGGTTGCGGTCTAGTCCATTCAATGTATGACAAATAGAACAGGCATTTGATGCAGGAAAATTTGAGGAAACAGTAAAATCAGCAAGAAATAAAGCTAAACACAAGCATAAGCATAGTTACCGGAATCTCTCCACCGACCTCGCGTTTCCGGTTCCGAAACCTGATTCCGCGTTTCCGTTAAGGAATCTCCATGGAAACCGTTTTTCAGAACCAAGGAAACTCGATTCTTTTATTTCAGAATCTCGATTCGACACATCCTTAGATACTAATTTTCGGAACCAAGGAAACTTGATTTCTTAATTTCAGAATCTCGATTAACCACATCTTTGGAAACCATTTATCGGAACCAAGGAAACTCGATTCTTTAATTTCGGACTCTCGATGCAACACATCTTTAGAAGCTTGAACCCATTAATTGTGGGTAGACGTTCCCAAATATATCGAATCTGGGTTCCAACGAGGATTAAATCTTGATTCCACGTCAATTGAAGTAGAAATCTTCCTTCGAATGCTTCTAGTGGTTGCGGGGTGTCATTATTTTACTTGTGTCACCTTGGATCGCCTTTACTTTAAATTTAAAATATAACTGATAAATACAACACATACAATTAAAAGTAAAACCATGGCGTAGACATAATCGTATTTTGTCTTTATAATAATGAAGTCAAAATCACAATTTAGAAATCCTTGTCTTTTGTATATAATAATCGTAAGTTTAATAGTCAACACAATCACTTTAAAATTTGGAAAACCTTCTAATGAGAAACATCCAATATAGGTTCTAAAGTTGATGAGGCTCAAGATGTGCTTGTCGCTTCCTTATCCATAATGCTGAAATCTCGATTCCTTGTAGGGGTCGTCAAATGCATTCCATAGTCCGTATTATTGTAAATCTCGATCTCAAACTGGCATGGATCTCTGATTCATATACTTCAGAAACTTGATTCCAAATATGTTAGAATCACGATTCGAAATATCAACATATCTCTGTTCCACATATGTTAGAAACTCGATTCCATAGATGTCGAAAACTCGATTCCGCATATTAAGGAATCTTGACTCCTGGAGTGTCGATTATAGGGGGATGGGAATCTCGATTCTAAGGAGGATGGAATCTCGATTCTATTTGGATGAAACTTGGATCTATTTCGGTCGAAACACAATTCTCAAAAACTAGTAATTTCATTCCTAGCGATTCCTATTGTACGGACAATGATTCCTAAGACGGGAATCTTCGATTCGGTCACGATTCCACGATTCTAGGCGTTTCCAACAACTATGAGCATATGTTGAAGAAACCACAACTTTCGTCTTCACACCCAAGCTAGGGTTGCAAAAGGCTAAGCTTTTCTCTCTTTCAATTTCTAAAAATCAAGTGGCATTGACCCTCTCAAGGCCCCCCACACCTCTTATAATAACAATTCAATGTTCAAAGACATTATATATCATAAAATGATTAAAATGACCTACACATTCTAGCTTAAACTTAAATTTTATAATGACAGTTTTGCCTTGTGAACAGTACTCGTGAATAGTATTTGTGAATAGTTATCATGAAATAAATAAAAAAACTATAAAAGCCATAGAATTCTTAAAAACTAAGAAACCCTAGAAATAAGTCATAAAACTAAAACTATAATATACATCATTTAAGTTGAATAAAATAAATAAATAAATAAATAATACAATCCGGCAACATTCTTCAACTCGAATATTGTAAACATGATCCTGGGACTTGTGAGTTATTGCACTAATCAAAACACAATGATTGTGCATTAGAATTGAGAAACTCTCAAGGAAAACGTCATTGTATGTCGGTAGAATATTTTTAATCACATAACTTTGTTGAAATTGCATCACTTCAGCCATGTGACCCTAAACTGTCAATTCTCCTTTGAGTCCTTCCTCTTTTTCCTTGTCAAATATCAATTCAATCACAAAATCTAGATCACCATTGTAGGCTGGATATCCTACAAGATCTTGTTTTTTATTAAGTATGCGTCGAAGATTGGTGGTAGATCCCCTACAAGATCTTGTTTTTCATTTAAGTATGCGTCAAAATCAAGAATCTCATCCTCTAAATCGAAATTTCTAGAGTGATGTTCTCCACATCTAGGTTTTTTATCACTATCCTCATCATTCGACTCTCCACGCGGGGTGCAAACGTGAAAAGACTTGTATTCGAGATTCTCTTGGGCTAAAAAGATCATTGTTTTGTCTTTAATTGAGGCTTGCGAACTGCTGCACCAATTGTTGTACTTGCCTTTTAGTTCCTCAATTCTGTCATCTATGAGATCATGGAGTAGATCTACGAAAATCCCCCTTCTACGGCCCCTTCTCGCAGTCATGGGTTCGCCGAAATTATAAACCCTAGGCAAATAATCAACAAAAAACTGCTGAAATCAGTAAGATGTAGGATGTTTTGGCAAAACCTTAGCAAAAATCAGCAAACCCTTGATCCCGAATATAACTTCCCCGCTTTGTTGTTGACTTAGGGCACAAAAAAAGTTGATGCTACAGTAACTCCGTACATTGTTGCAGTACTTCTATATACTACTGCAATACTTTTCATGTAGATTGTTGGTTCTAATACCACTTGATGCAGGGAAATTTGAGGGAATAGTAAAATCAAAATGAAATAAAGCTAAACACAAGCAAGAGACTACATGTTTCTTCTCCACACCCAAGCTAGGGTTGCAAAAGCCTAAGTTTTTCTCTCCTTCAGTTTCTAAAAATCATGTGGCACTGACCCTCTTAAAGCCCTCACACACCTCTTATAATAACAATTCAATGTTCAAAGACGTAGCGTGCCCATAACATGATTAAAATGACCTATATATCCTAAATTAGACTTAAATTTTGTATTGACAGTTTGCCCCTGTGAACAGTACCCGTGAATTGTACTTGTGAATAGTATTCATGAAGTAAATAAAAAAACTATAAAAACCATATAATTTCTAAAAACTAAAAAACCCTAGAAATAACTCCTAAAACTAAAACTATAATATATATCCTTTAAAGTTGAATACAAATAAAAAATAAGAATAATTTTGCCCTCCATCAGCATTATAGCAACTGTTATTAGGGAAACTTGCTCTTTGTTTTTCTGCTTTATCTTACTCCATTTGTTTTCCTTGTAATTGCTTTCTAGAGTTCTGTTCAATGGGATTCTGGCTCCCTTTTATTCTGCATGTACTATTCTACTTAACATTTTGATGATCAGATACCTGTTTTGTCATTTTGAGTTTATGCTATTTTTTTTATTGCAAATTTACTTTAATGAATTGTTGAATTTCTATGGGTATTTCTGGAATTGTAAAACTCTACGTGGGGTTTGCCATTAACCATATTTGTAGTTCTTGTGATAGAAAGTTTGTAGATTCTCAGTATGTTCTTTTTGCAATGCTTGGTTTTTGGTTCAACTGTATGCTGGGAAAATGCCCATATGATACTTTTCCTAGATTGGGGACTTACTGGAATCTAAAAGGTAGATGATTTAAGAATGGCAAAAGAAAAGTGGCTTTTCTATCTCTTCACCTGCAAATTCATGATTGATATTGTGTTAGAAAACATTTTCATTTTTATCTTTTTGCACACACTCCTACCCAGTATGCCTTAATTAAAATTGCTGCCATTTGGGGTTTTAACCACCTTCCATTTAGATAGCATTTGTATATACGTTTTTCTCCTATGCAACTCTTTGATTTGGGAAAGGATATAGGGTAAGTTTATTACAGTGCACTATGGAAAGCCATGGTCTATGGGGTTTTGGCACCATCCAATGAAACGATAGATGGTTGTGGAGAGAGAGTGGATGCACTGTTGGGGTCCTTACCTTCTGGCAGGTCTCACTCTCTCGCCATCACCATTCATCATTTCATTGAATGCTACTGATTCCAGTGGACTATGATTTTAGAGGCAATTGGATTGTCGTATACTTTCCTGTTGGTATTTAACTTTAGTATATTAATGAAAAAATAATTGAAAAACTTTTCACTGTAGCAATATAAGTGTTTTTTAAAGTGCATCATTTGGTTTGCAGGCCAAAGATTAAAGTTCCGGCATCTGTTGTGATGCCAATTGCACACATATTGGAGTGGATGTATGGGAAACTAGGTCGATATGGAATGAGTGTACCTCAGGTGACACCTTCACGTGTCAGGCTTCTCACCTGTAATAGAACTTTCAATTGTTCAAGAGCTAATACTCTACTCGGATATACACCTATCGTGCCACTTGAGGTTTGTTTTGGCATCGCATTGCATCAAAGAAATACAAATATGCAGCCAAGACATGGATGAGTTGGACTCTGAAAAATCGGGATCACCACCATCCAATGAAATGACAGACAGTGCTTGAGGGATTGTGGGATCCACCATCAAGGTAGTTTCCTGCTGTCGTGGGTTCTACTCTCATTCTATCACTGTCCATTTGATTGGACTGTGATGACCCCTTGGGACTATGGTTTAGTCTCTCAGACACAGTATATGTTTCCCAAAGGAATTCCTATTTGGAGTTGGATTATTGAGGCCCTTCTTTGGTCTTGCAGGAAGGTCTGAAAAGGACATTGGAGTCCTATCCTAATCTGAGGGCTGAGCATAAAGCGGAAAGAACATCATCAAAGGCTTCTATGTTACTTGGAGGAGGATGGGGTAAATAAAAGGACCTTATCAAGTATATGATAAAGTAAACCATAGTCTCATCTCTCATGGACCATGGGTAAACATTAGTCCATTGGGGTCATCACCAACAATTGGCATGATGCATGGTGATGGTGGAGATAGAGGGGAACCCAGAACCCAACAGAACCTGGTATAACCCTGATATTGGGTCCTACTCTCTGTCCATAGTTGCACATCATTTCATCCAAGAGTGCTGACTTCAATTGGTACTATGGATAATCCATAGTCTACTGGACTATAGTATACTTTCTCCAAGTAAGTTTCTTCTGCATATTTTGGTTTGATGATCCTGAACCGGAAGTAAATCTCTTGTTGCAGCTGCTGACATATTACTATGGAAAGATGTGAAGCAGACACTGGGGATTTTGCTATCTTTCTTTCTCTTTTACTTTTACTTTTTTCCCTCTGGATCCACCTTCATCACTGCTGTTTCAAAGCTTTTTCTGGCGATGGCTGTTTTCTTATTCATCCATGGCCTGTTGCCTTCATCAGTGTATGACATCCTTGGTTGTATCTGTATTTTGATATCTAACTCTGTAGAGTTTATTTTAAGCTCAATCGTCAAAGAACTTTTCCAGTGAAGGTTTATATGGAATGGATTTTGGTGCAGATTGGGCTACAAAATAGAGAAACTTCAGGCATCATCATTTCACAGCTCAGAAGAGTTGACACGTCAAATTGCTGCCTCCATAGTTTGTACGTGGAATTCTATGGTGGGCATTCTCAAGTCTCTTTCCCGGGGAAAGGATTGGCTTCTTTTCTTCAAGGTACATGTATCTATGGGCTAATTCCTTTGCAAGCTTCATATTTCTAGCCAACTAATGTTTCTTTTATTTTTATGGGCCATTAGCTATTGTTACTATATATATCAATTAATATGATTTTTTTAATTGTTCATTGTTTCCTTTACATACTGAACTAGGGATGTGTGTTTAGAAAAAGGCCTTCTTGGGCAATTTTGATTTGTCATATGACCACTAAAAAGTTTAAAATGGATATACATCCTTGAATCCCTTTCTGTGGTGCATTAAGGTTTTATTTTTTCTGTTTCCCAATTGTGCTCTAGTTCTTTCATGATTTGGTTTCTTTTGGTTTATATTAGTTGTTCTTTTCAATTTTCTCTCTGTTGATTTCCATCTATTATTAGTTTGATCTCACTCTTTTTTTTTGGTTTATATTAGTTGTTATTTTCAATTTTTGCTCTCTTGATTTCCATCTATTTGTTGGTTGATCTCATTCTTTTTTTTATTTGGTTATCTTTTTATACCTAGGGATTTCTTCCTGAATCATTTGCTTTTATTTTATTTTATATTTTTTCTCATGATGTGGATGTCACATGCTAAAATGTGTTTGAGATCTAATATTTTCTGGGTCCAAAATTAAACAACTATTTCTATCAAACTACTGAATTTTTTGCTAATTAATAAAATATCATCTGAATTTTGGGCAGGTTGTCATCATCCTCTCAATTCTCAACATCATGGGAAGAGTTTCGATGCGGAGCCTACTCGGAACAGGTTCAAATCTTACATTCTCTCTCTCTCTCTCTCTCTCTCTCTCCTATATATATATATATATATATATATATATATATGTATATATATTAATGAAAGAAAAGGAAAGAAAGACAATTTGATTCTTGTTGTGGTAGCCTAACTGATGTTAGCCTATGCTGGCATCTTCCTGTTCAGGTATCCCCACAATGTTTGTAATTTTTTATATCTACGACAAAAAGGAGGAACAAATTGATGGTCTGGTTCAGAAGGCCATGGCTTATGTTCTACGACTGAAGACAGATCTCACCTTCAAATTCTATGCTGCCAGGAAACAGTCCTAATTTTTTGAGCATGAGTAACTAATAGTGCGATTGGGTTTGCATCTCTTTAATTATAAAAAAAAGAAAAAAATTGTCTTTGCATCTTTTTCCTCGTACCCATGAGGAGCTCATGCTTTCCAAAGTACTTCAATCTTTGCCCTTTAACATTTTATGTTGCCTCATTGGAGCTTGAATGTTCACTTGCAAATGAGGAGCATCAGAAGAAGCTGAGGAATGTGCAGGTCTTTGTGTTGGTACATTATGGTTTCTCCACTTGCGATGATTATGGTACCTCGAGCTTTTGCTTGGTCTGGAGTGCTGTAAAAAGCTTTAATTTAATTTACATTTCTCTTTTTAGCTCTTATTATTACAAACTTTGGTTTATGTTGATTTCAGTGATTATATGGCTTGCGGTGCCTTTATCATACTGAAGTTTGTCAAACTAACCACCCTCTGCCTTCAAAACCTCAGTACTCTTTAGCACATATCATCTACAGTATGATCTAGATGTGGATTATGCCTTGTGAACATCAAGGGAATGAGATTGGTTGCTCTTTGAGTTCTTGGATCTTATATCTTTTTCCTCTTCCTTTTTATTCAATAGTACTAGTTCTTTATGCAGATTGAAGTGTTAAAAAAGTATTCCTTTTGATGGATACTTTTAGAAGACTCTCTTCTCTCTTTCTCTATTGCGAAAGGAGCGAGGGGAATTACATTGGTCCTCTTTTCAGTGTAAATCAGCAACAAAAGGAGAATAGCAAGAGGGTTATTAAGAAAATAATGAAGTCCAAAAACATAAGCTTCCTTATGGGAGGTCCAATAGTTCCCTCTTAATTAGTGATTTAAAATTCGCTGGTCTAATCTGGAACAGCCGATCTGGACCAGGAATCGGTCCCTATCGCATTGGTTCCTTGTTGGAATCAGCAATCGGTCTAACTCGGATGGATTTGCTTGGCTACCGAGCAATCTCAATTGACTGAATCACCATGTTCCCACCTATTATATCTTTATTTTTAAATCATCTTATTTTTTAGGACCAATTCTTATCATGGAGAATTGGTCCAATTTAATAATTTGGATAAGTTATTTGCCTATTCAGACTGAATTTCTAGATGACCGATTAACTTAATAAATAATATTAAGAACAATAGCAACGCAAAAAATTTTCCGCCTCTCTCACTTAAATTTTTATCTTGGTCCTAACAAAAAAGTGGTTTGAACGCCCTACTACATAGCATTAATAAAAATCCAATTTGATCACCGAAACTTCAATCCCAAAATAAGTCAAAGCGATAATTAAAAACCTTAGAAGCTTCCTTGAAATAAAATAAAGGTAATGGTGATTAGATAGGTATTGATCTTGGAATGGGCTTGGGGCATCGGTGGTTCGGGGGGCAGATTACTAAAAATAACGCCCCACCCTCGATTCACACCGTTAATGTATCAACAAATAAAAAATAAAAATAATTCGACTTCTCCCTAAACTTAATCTGCCACATCCTCGGGTTGGAGAAGACTCGATATTGTTGGGTCAACATCACCATGTAAAACAAACATATATTGATCATTGAAAACTGGAGAGAGATTCTACCAGCTAGGAAGCTCAACTGTCTAAGCTTTGTTATTGATCTTAGTGATTATGTAAGTTCCAATCTTGCAAGCTTTGTGCTTTTTATAGGTGCCAGAAGGAAATTGTTTAGGTTTGAGATACACCATTACAGGATCAACATCAAACAATTCAATACAAAGGTGTCTATTCACAACATCCTAGTACTTTTATCATGGCACACGTCCAACTTTATTCGAACCTTTTCATGTAAGCATTTTCGTGGCATTTGGATCCACACTCTCACATACAAGTTAAGGCACTAAGTCATAAAAATGCATAGAGACATATCATAAATCGTTGTAAAATTAATCTTCCCAATTGATCAATTTGGAGAATTATTATATTCTAACTCAGCTTGTTGTAGGACCAAATCCCACAATTTCTCATTTTCTCCGACAAAACTGCTTAACATATTGCCCGCACTTCTATTGATTACTTAATGTTTGGCCATCAGTTGTAAATGATGATGTTAGAATGCATTGAATCGCGTTGATTATGGTATTATTTTTCCATGGACTGGGTCTCCTGGTTAGTTAGGAAAGTTCCTATTAATCGCAGTTTCTTATTAACAACCTATTATTCTTTAGGAGTTTATGGGGGGAGGGACCTATTATTATTTAGGAATTTATGGGGTGAAGGGGGGCGGTTTGTGGTGATGTCCTATTTGGATTGGGATAGTCATGTCAGTCCAAGATTGAATGTATAACGGCTAGGAATCCAAAAAGATAGGGAAAGTCGGAGGGCCTCGTGTGATTGTCATTGGATTTTTCTTTTCTCCATATTATATTGTCTTTGGGTTTACTGGTTGTGTTTTTTCTCACCCTTTACTTATCCAAAATGAGCCCATCAGGTTTTTGGAGCTTTTACCCTCAACAAGTGGTATCAGCGCTTAATTTGAAGTTATCAATAATAATGGTAAATGTTTCAAATGTAAAGTTCAAGAAGGAGAAATTTAATCGTAACGAGTGTATTGAAAACCAACTCGGCTAAGGTACTCGGGCCTTCGCCGAGCCGAGTAAGTAACATGGCCAAGTTAGGTGCACCCAAAATAAAAGGTGAAAAAAAAGCCAAAAAAGGGGTAAAAACTCTCTCAAAATCTTTAAAAACCGAAAAAAGTTTGAAGGATTAACAAAATCATTAGAAGATTAAATAAGATGAGAGAAACTACAAACGATGGATTATTGAAAAATTAGATTTATACATTGAACATTCAAAAAAAAAAAGAGAAAAATATGAAATTTCCAAATAATCTTAAAAAATAATAAAATCTTCTAAAAAAAAGTATTTTTAACCATTATGCTAGTATTTTGTATATATATTTATCTAGTATATGTTTAGGCCTGGCAAGCTGTATACCTAACTCATTCAGAATACAAGCTTCACCAATAGGGCAGGGCCGAGTTATTTGGCTGAATCGGACTTAGCGACTCCCAGCATACTTCAATATAACAACTTGTATACATCAACAATAGTATAAAGTTATCATTCGAAAAAAGAAAGATTTTAGAATTATTAGCATTGATTGGCTTAATGGCTTCAAGATTAAGCTTCCAAAATATTGGTTTTTTCATGAACACAATCACATTAGACTGATGCGGAATGTGATAATAATGTTGCGGTTTCTGACTAATGTATCGTGACCCAACCAAGTCCAATTGGACTTAGCCAAGTAATTCGCCTTTGACCTAGTGGCCCTCACCAAAAAAAACCCTGAGAAAATAAATAAAAAATGTTAAGAAAATCCAAAAGAAATAAAATCTGAAAAAAAAATAAAAATAAAAAAGAAAAAGAACAGAAAAGAAAAGAAGAAGAAGAAGAAAGGGCTGAGTCATGAAATGCTAAGTTTTTCTTTTTCTCCAACCACTTTCCGATCACTAGAATCTTTTCTGATGATTTTTAATTCTCATTTTCTACCTCATCTTCCCTCTTTCAGTGTTTTTTACAATTGGGGTTCCCAAATTTTGGCAAGAATTAAAGAGCCTTTTCACCCATCAGTCTTTTGCCTAGTACCTTGCCCAAGTCGATTTCCAAAATATTGTTTCTTACATATGGGGAATGTTCATCTGGCCTCCAATGAAGTATTCAAATACTAACTCCCCTATTTAACCAAGTAAAGGCTCATGTATTTCACCTAACTGGTTTATGTGGAGTCAACTTGGGAGAGAGTAGCCATTCATATTCCATCTCTCTCTCTTTCCCTCTCTCTCTAACATTGTAGACTTGGTTAATATTGGATGCTGACAATGATGTTAACATAGGAGGTGGGTTAGGGGTTTTTGGTCTCCATTGACGACGAAAGTTTCAAAGAAGCTGGATGAGGCCCAATTAAGATAAAAAATATAAATTGTTGACATAAGCAGTAGTTGAATGATACTTTATCACTTATTAGCCTATTGAAGTTAGGGCAAGCTTTCTATGCTTCTCCTACCCCATAGAAGTTCTATCTGCCCTTTATCCAACCGTCCATTCTGAATGAAGAGCTAAGATTGTCCCAATCACAATGTCACGTCTCTATACTATTTTATTTTTAATTTTTTTTCTATAAACTATTTTGACACCAAATTTTGGATGTCCATTCCTCTATTAAACTTGCACTAGCGAAAAATATTTTCAATAAAATAAAATGATCAAAATACCCCTGAAAATTCCAAGGAGTATTTTAGTCATTATATTTTATCAAAAAATTATTTTTAATATTTTTTATAGGTGTGCCCCAATGAGAAGATGACATGTATCAAATTTCATATTCATACAATTTGTATAAAAAAACTTAAAAATAAAATACTTTGAGATGTCGGATCTAAGATCACACGGTGAGTGGCTCTCTTGATCAAAATTGGACGGCTGAATGGTAGGGAGAGGATAGAACTTCTATGCTATAGGGGAAGGATAGATCTAAGATCAAACGGTGAGTGGCTCTCTTGATCAAATAGTGCCGAGTTATGTGGTTTCAATACTGAAATTTTTTGTGATAACCTTAAAATATATTTTCATATCTAATTATAAAATTTAAAGCTTAAAAAATAGTGTAGAGATCTATGAAACTTAAAAATCTTGAAAATTAACAGTAAAAAAAACGCATTACAAGATGCACTATTTCCAAAACTTGAAATTCATTTTTTTTTATCATGTCCATACATCTTGAGGTCGAGATGAATAATTTGAAGATATTTCACAAAACAACCTCTTCTAGTGAAATTTTTGAGGTCGTTCTATTTTGATTGTTTATAGCCTTGCACTTATATACAAAAGATAAATTATAGAAAAATTTAGAAAAAAAAAAATATGAAACTTTCCAAACAATCTTTAAATTTTAAAGTGTTTATAGATATGTTCGATCGATACTATTTTCACAACCTTAAATATTATACTTAGGACTGAAAATGGTTTTTTAAGTCACCATAAGAATTTTCAACGCAAAACTCCAACTTTTAGCAAGATTTAGATGTCCGCCTCATTTTGATTGTTTAATAATGACACCTCATACAAACTGCGCCAATATAAATACAATATTACTTATAAATTATAGAATATTTGTAATAAAAAATATATATTTTTTATACGCTAACTACTAGATCCAACCCCACCTAATCCAATAGGATGGGTCCAAGACCGATACTAGGACAGTTGGGATCCGAGTCAGTCACATTAGCATCCCTGGTAGAGAGAGCTGGTGGACTCACAATAATTGCGAGGTAGAGGGGACAAAGAGGGAGACGAATGTGGAAATAAGACAAAAACTAAATTAGTTTAGGCTGCTGGTTGGAGAGAAGATCGTGGCAACGTGTTTTTTTGGTTTACAAAATTTCATAAAGGAATTATATACGAAGAAAAAAGTTTATATAAAGCCGAGACTTTAAATAATCACTTAAAAATTTCACTACAAGATGTCGTTTTGTTGCCCAAATACCTTCAAATTAATCATCTTGACATCAAGATGCATGACATGATAAAAAGAAAATAG